TGGGAGGGATAAAATTGCACAAACTGATTACAAAGCTAGACGCAACTGAGTTGCTAAATTAACCCATTGGTCATTATGTAAAAAAAAAAAAAGAAGAAGACTTACTTGTATCCAAAAAGTCATGGGAGCACTAAGTGGAATAAGTTACCGGAAATGAGAAGGTGAAGATTTTGTGGAACTTTTGAATACAGATGGATCGTCATTTGGAACACAACACACCAGATATCACGGTTGTAGAGGGCTGAAATGTACAATTTATTAACATTGCGGTACCAGAAGACACCAGACTTGAAGAAAAAGAACTGGAAAAAAATCACAAAATATTGCGACCTGGCCATTGAAACTACACGGTTATGGATGAAACATGTAACAGTGATACCCATTGTCATCAGGGCACTTGGTATCATGTCCAAGAATTTTACCAAACACATCGTGAAATTGCAGTTTCCTGCAATAACACCACCAGAACTGCAAAAACTGCGCTGCTTGGAACATCATAAATTTTAAGAAGATATTTGGTTGATACCTAGGATGCTGGCAGCAACCCGTATCAAACATTAGCACAAATCAATGGTATTCATGACACATTTTTAAATGTTCAGTTGACTGAGTTTCATGTTTAATTAATAAAGTAAATAATAATACTAATACTACTACTAATAAAAAAATACTTTATGCTCAATACTAATGACAATAATTGTACTATCCAGGTATATCTGAATACTCTTTCAACTTCAATTAACATTTGCCTCTAGATATTAATTGTAATATATTATATAGCAATATACCTAGTAATATTTTTCCCATTTCTAATTTCTACCTCTATATAAGCAAATCTTATATTAAGAAGTATTCTATATCTATCCATCATCTCTTGCCCTTCTTTATAGTTCAACTCTTATTGATTTTTTGACCAATCTCCCATATTCTTCCCTTGGGATCTTGCATCTCCTTACATCACTCTTATTTAATTTAAATATTTCATCTGCCTCTACATCTACCTCTCACTGTCAAATCTCCAGCATGCCCCTAAATGACTCTTTCATCACTCCTGAGAGTTCTTTCTCTTTGTCCTCTTCTATATTTTGAGCTCTTAAAGCAAAGTCTGCCTGCTTCATTTCAGGAATTTTTACTATCTCTTCCTCATCTTTATCTGTTTGTATCGTTTGTTGATTTTTCTCTTCTATTTCTTCCTCTACTCTTTCTACTTTCTCCTCTATTTCTTGAATTTCTTGTGCATTTTTTGTTCTCATTTGCCGAGAATCTCCTGATTTGTTATGTATCAATTCCTTCATCTCCCTATGGTTCTTTATCATAGCTTCCTGAAAACATTGAAGCACCAATATTTCTTTTTGAGATACATCTAATTCTCCCTGTTGTGGACATTTTACTGTATTTTTCAGAGTATAAGACGCACTTCCCACCCTCCCCCCCAAAATGAGTGGAACTGTCTGTGCATCTTATACAATGAATATTGCAGTTGGGGAAGGGGGTTGGTGTGGCACCAATCATCTGTTCTAGAATGGGCCAGCCATGGCGAACAGGCTGCAGCAAACAAGCCATGGTGAATGGGCCACAGCAAACAGGCTGCAGGAAACTGGCTGCGGTAAATGGGCCATGGCAGCAGTGGTGAACGGATAGCAGCAGATGGGCCATGGAGAACAGGATGCAGCAAATGGGCCATGGTGAACAGGCCAGATGGCTCCTGGATGAATGCTGGTAGGCAGAGGCAGATTTTTTTTTCTTGTTTTCCTCCCCAAAAGCTAGGAGTTTCTCAGTGATGTGCGGTGGGGTTTATGGCTGGTGAGGCACTGACACTGGAGTTTCAAATTTTTTTAGACTTGTGGACTTCAACTCCCAGAATTCCATAGCCAGGCATGCTCAATTCCGATTTAAAGTGACAGCATTTGTTTTTCTCCTTTGNTGTCGATTGGTTACAGATAACTTTTATGCACTTCTTCCACAGTCATTACTTATAGTTCATATTAGATTACCGGTATACATTTTAAGTCAAAAATCTCTGTATATCTTACTATCAATGTACCACAATTCTCATTTGAATACAATTATTTGAACATGCTTTTACCTCAAATCATTCATACTTAAAGACACAACCACATAATGGCATTCATTAGCTATTTCAATAACATTACACCTTTATAGCATCTTTAAAGTAAAAGTCAATTAATAAAGTTTCTAAGCCTTCCTCCCCTTTTCTCCAACTCACTGACGTTTTTTGCTTGTTTTTGGAGGAGCACTCTGCAAGCCCCCCCCCCCGGCTATTCATGCCTTTTGGGGGGGGGGGGAAACGGGCTTGTTTTCGTGAAAAATGAGCCGTTTTTGGGAGGTTTGCAGAGTGCAAAAAATTTTTTTCCCCCTTTTGGAAAGCTCTTTAACCGATTGATGAGAATTACATTGATGAAATGCTGTGACAGCAGAAACATCTATCTACTGTATTTCTCTCTATATATATTTCTTTCTCTCTATCCCTCCACCTACATACATACTTTCTCTATCCCCCTACCTATCTATTGTATTTCTTTCTCTCTATCTCTTTCTATTTCTCTATCTATCTACCTACCTATTTACACACACTCTCTCTTCCTACCTACCTACTGTATTTCTCTCTCTTCCTCTCTATCCCTTTATCTACCTACCTACTTCTTTTTTTAATTTGCCTCTTCAAAACCTTGGTGCGTCTTATACTCAGAAAAATACGGTAATAGAAAAGCAACTAATTTAGCTCCGTTCTTAACTGTTAAAGCTGTTGCACATAAAAAACAGGAGCTTTGATCAACTATCAGAGCCATCATTTTGACAGTTTTGCTGTACTGTAGCCTGTCCCCATGAAATGCAAGCATGGAATAAACAGAGCCTGGTTTGTTCTCAGCCTTTTAAGTGGCCACAAACTACTAGCAAAAGTGTCATTTGTTCACAAGGCAAGGAATGTTTCCCCTTTTGTATTTGAGCATCCAAGAAGGGACAGGAAAGACAAAGAAAAAAAAGAAAGGGGGAAAGAGAGCAAGGAAGCAAAAAGAAGGAAAGAGGGGAAGGAAGAAGGGAAAGAAGGAGACTATAAAGAAAGAGAGTAAGCGTGTGAGGTAAATCCTGCCTTAGCTCTTGATCACCAGCAGCCCTGCTGCCTTTTGCCAACCCCCTCCTCCTGACCTCTCCTGGTGGTCTCCCATCCTATCACTGAGGATGCTTTGGTTACCAAGCTAGGTCACGTAAGGAGAGGGAGTAGGCTTCCCTCTGACCCACATACTTTGCCCTCCTTCACACAGCATGGGCAACCAGTGGGACTGGCCATACCCACCCCGGCCCCCCAAAGTCAACCACAATGGGGGCCTCATTGAAATTCAGTTTGACACCCCTGTACTAACAGATGACCTGAGTGCTGCATGTGTTGCTCTCAAACTTAAAGTATGAGCCATGATTAGAAAAATTATCAGCGTGCGTACAACTGCAAAAGTCAAATTAATCAAAAGCCTGCCAAATGCAAACATTTACCTTTAAATAAAAAGATGTTTGTATCATTGAAAGCGCTGTTATGTGTTTTTTTTTCAGAGAAAAAACGTTAATCACATATGAGTTGTTTTTCTAAACTAAAACTTCCATGTTCTGGTTAAATTGTCGTGTTGGCACTCCAAGATAAATAAGTGGGTTTTGGGTGGTGGTTTGGGCACTCGATCTCTAAAAGGTTTGCCATCACTATAGGGCATTGCACACCAGAACAACTAGACAAAAGGACAGCTTTCCCCCTCATGCCTTCACTCTGCTAAACAACTAATTCCCACAACACTGTCAAACTATTTAAGTAAGGCTATATTACTACTTTATTCTCATCTTTGTTATTAACAATCTCCTTTTCTACTATAACTTTCTTGCTTGTATCTTTATGATTTATATTGTTTTATTTAGTTTCCTAGTATGATGTATGTTGATTGCTTATTTAGTATCCTATGACTATCACTAAGTGTAGTATCTTATGATTTATGATGAATCTATTTTTATGATGATTATGACCATGATTTATCATTTATAGCTTTTACGTACACTGAGAGATTATGCACCAAAGACAAATTCCTTGTGTGTCCAATCACACTTGGCCAATAAAGAATTCTATTCTATTCTAGCATTCAGAAATCATCCAAACTATCCAGTCGTAGTGATTACAGTGGAGTACAGTAAACATTAATAAAAACTACATATTTATAGGAAACATTCCATTACAATACTCAAGCCTATTTACTTTTTCATGTACTATCACCAAATGAAACAGCAATATAAATCAAGAAATACGTTAAAGTATTATAAACAACAATCAAGTAAACAATATCCCAATCAACCAACTGCCAAAGACAGCAACAGCGAACAGCCAAAGCAAAGAATCTCTAAAATAACCCCCATCATCAACACTGAGAGGCAAGCCCCTGGATGATCAATTGACAGCACACTGCACTCCTTACTGATGATGTTACCTAGTTTGGATAATGAAACATCTGTAATAAAACAAGCAAGCTCAGCGAGTACCAACAACCCCTCAGATAATTATGTGACATTGAAGTTGAATTTATAATAAAAAATGAACAAAACGTAAATAGGGAAGTGCATTATTACCTTTAACAAGCAATTTGTCTCTAATTGAGACTCTCCGAGTAGAATCAGGAGTGGAGTTGGAAGTACGGGAGCCCTTGACACCATCGTCCCGTTTCAGTTTGCTTGCCAACGTTAGCATTAGTGCTCGCTTCAATCTAAAACACAAGAACTAAAATAGAAAATAGTCATTTTAGTGGTTTTACTTTTCTTTCAAAGGCAACATTCTATACAAACATATTGACAAACTGTTCAGTCCATGGGAATTATTTTTTCCATGTTTTAAAACATACACACTTTTATATTAAGTCAAACCAATGGCCTATTTAGACCAGGCTTCTCCAGCCCACAGACTGCACGTGGCCCCACAAGATCAAAAAACATAAATAAGAGCCGAGGTGGCGCAGTGGGCAGAGTGCAGCACTGCAGGCCACTTCAGCTGACTGCTAGTTCAGCAGTTCAAATCTCACCGGCTCAGGGTTGACTCAGCCTTCCATCCTTCCGAGGTGGGAAAATGAGGACCCGGATTGTTGTTGGGGGCAATATGCTGACTCTGTAAACCGCTTAGAGAGGGCTGAAAGCCCTATGAAGCGGTATATAAGTCTAACTNTTTTCATGATGACAGTGGTGAGGCTCTGCCTCCCCTGCCTCCCCTCACTGCACATCCCTGGTGTTTCTTATAGTCCGGAGCATCTTATAGTCCAAAAAATATGGTACTTTAATTTAATGGGCTAAGAATTACTCAATAATCTGCCAAGATCCCAATCTCCCAATTGTCCACCACACCAAAAGGCCAATATTAGAAAAATTTACTCAGTCTCAGAACTGTTCCTCAGAATGCACAATGTTTATAGTCCTCAGGATCTGCCAATTTGCTCCCTCTCAATTTTCCGGATTTGTAGGTCTTGTTTAACTTTTCTTCTTTCACCTCGATGTTCTATCGAGCAGCATTTACAATCTGGGAGTAGCCCACCAGGTTTCCCCATGTCTCATTAATCCACATAGTCAAATGTTCAGTTTCAAGGGTGATTCCTGTTGTTTATAGTCTTCAAAAGACTCATCAGTTACTCCTAACCAGTCAAAAAGCAAATAGATACAAAACAAAAAGACTTCCAGGTGTTGTTTGCACTCTATTTCCCTTTCTTTTATCAATCCTGAGTTTCAAGATCTTTTCCAGTATAGTATATTTTTTTCCACCAGTAGATGGCCCAAAGTTCCAGCACTAAAACAGAGCGAAAACTGTCACAGCTGATTGCCAAATAGTTACAGAATCTATTTTTCTTTATATATTTTCTTCCAATAGTCAAACAATATTGTCAACAAATTACAATCACTTTTCATGATACTGCAAGTTCCAGTCCAACCTTTGTATATTTTAGAACTTCATTGTCTCCTATTAAAATTTCCTCTCTCTTTTGGGTCTATAATCTTTCTCTAATGTGTTAGCTCACCACTTTCAGTGCTTTAGAGAATCTTTCTTTCAAAAGTTCTTTTATTTGGGGTTAGGTCTCTAATATAGAAGTTGAAAGTCGCCTCTCCCAGTTCCAATCCACTGTTCACAAACTGGTCCAGCTCATTTCTTTCTTCAGTTGCCCTAGTTTCATTTCAGCCATAATGACTGCCTTTCTTCTTTGTTGGTCGGGAGGATGCCTTGGAGCAAACGCAAGAGCCTCCACTCTCCCGCAATCGCACCTCTAGGGTGATTTTAGCCCCTTAGGGCCCCCCAATAAAGAAGAATTGGCCAAGATTTCATTGCGCCCAGCTATCCTGACTGTCTCGCTACAATGCCAAACTGGAAGTCCTTGACAATTACTATTTTTAAATGTAATTGTCAACAGGCAGGAAGATGGAAACCTAGAAACCACAGTTTATTGCAAAGCCACCAACACTCCATGCATTTTTAATTTCAATGGTAACCATCCGCTGACACACAAAAATAGTTGTCTCAGAACACTACATGGCAGGGTATTGTAGTACCCATTGTAGTACCCAGCAAGGTAAACAACTGGAGACAACTGGATGAATAATTCAGGCAGGGTGGATACCCACAAACATTTATTACAAGGTGCCTGCATAACATGCAAAGGAGAGAAAGGAAGAAGGAACAAGATCAACAAGATGTAGGGCACACTCTGCCATAAGTTAAAGCATTTTGGAAGCAGTAGAAGAACACGGCTTCTGAGCTCTGCAAGTGGGCATCATGTACCACCCAGAGACTACCATACAGGGACAAATCATGCATTGTTAAGGTCACTTGGAGGTGGGAGATAGTTATAATGCAATTTACCAGATTCCCTGCATCGATTGCCATGTGACTATGTAAGATAGACAGAGAGAATGCTAACCATTAGATTGCAAGAACACAAGCAAGCAGTCAGGCAAGGAGACCCAAACTCATTGGTAGCCTCAAATTGCAATAAAGAAGGACATATATTCAATTTTGTAGCTACTAAGATTGTCGGTCATGAAAGTACAAAGATAGCCTGGGAAATGATTGAAGCCTGAGAATTAGGCCCCTGGTCAGCGTATTGGAATGCTGATTTACCACTAGCTTATCGGGTGCTTAGGAGCTGAGGATTTGGCAATCTTCCTCACTGAACACCCACCCAACCCCAAGTCCCAGTAGTCTTTTGGTACTTGTTGGATCCCTGGAGGTTTGGTGTCTGCTGCAAGTTCCGGATGATCAGGGCTGTTGGGTTCAATCATTCCTGGGTGACCTTTTGGCTCCACGGGTGGTAACGGCCCAAAGCCAATAATCAATTTCCTACTGCCATCCTCCCACTTTATTGTAGGCGCCCACTTGTCCAGCTATGCAAGTCCCAAGATAATTGATTTCTGCATTCTTGAAGCTACGATGAATCTGAGGAATTCATAGTGGCGGCCTATCATCAACTTTACCTACTCAGTAATTTTCGTGGCTGGGGCCTGATTGGGGGGAATCAGTGTTCCATCCACTTACTCAAACTGAATAGAGGTTTAGAGGTTTTGGGTGTATGCCTAGCTGCCCCACAATCGACATGCTGATTAACCATCGGGTGCAGCCGGTGTCCACAATTGCCCCAACTCCCGTTTCTGGCACTTGGAGGTTGCATTTTATAGTAAAGGGGTGGATGGATGCACTCACCATTGGGTCGTCTTCAGCATTACCCTCCTCCGGGGTCTCCCCAATGGTTGGACTTTTCATCACCTTTGGTTGGGGATCCATCTCCTGAGGTTGTTGGCCCAGATGACTCTTTTGTGGTGGCTTCTGGGGCCTTTTCTTTGCCATGCTGGCAGTTGCTGTGCACATTTGTGATATTGGGGCTGGAGCCAAGCACTCTGACGCTCTGTGGCCAAATTGACAGCAACGGCAGCATTTTATTGCCCCCAAAAGACAGAACTTCCTCATCACATTGTTCCGCTATCCATCCTGCAGCTTCCCCCCTCATTCATCCCTTCTTCCATTGTTGAGAACATTTCTCTGTCAGAAGGTGGGGTAAGAACGTGTTGGGGAATTGCAGGTGAGACTGGACTTGGTGGGGGAGGGGGGTCAATCCCTGTTTTGGCCACTGCCCAGTCATCTGCCATGATGCCATCTGCCATGATGCTGAGGGAGAGCAGGTGCCCACTGGCATCTCTCCCATCCATGACCTGGGAAGAAGATCCATTCCGGGGTTGCTTGATTCACATGTTGCAGCTCAAACATTGATGGTTGACTAGGGGGAGATATGGCCTAAATCCCTTTCTGCTGGCTGGGTTGATTTTCCCATGTTGACAGCCAAGTAGTTGCCCACTGGCATCTCTTCCATTCATGACGTGGGAAGAAAGCCCAATTTGGTGGTGCTTGATTCACAGGCTGCAGCCCAAATATTGGTGGCTAACTAGTGTGAGATGCTGGCCAAATCCCTTCCTGCTGGCTCAGCTCATTTATCGCTGTATGGAAGGAGTAATTATGTCCACTCCAGTCCTCCAGTCCATTGCAGCTTTTATTAGTGAAGGATGGGAAAGATTCACTCATGTTTTGCTGCACAAGTTGGTCTTGGAGGCTCCTATCATCTGGTCAGCTAGTGGGTGAATGTTCTTGCATTCTCCAGCCATGTGTTGAATTAGCCTTTCCAGCCCCCTCCAGCTGCATCTTCCCAGATGCTATAAATCTTCCAATTTCTTCCCACACAAATTGCTTTGCACTTTGGAAGATTGCAGAGAAGCATCTCATCATCAGCTTCTTTTCTCAAGGCTCTATCTTAATCTTCGTTGATTTTTCACGCTGACCGGGTCAGGTCAATGTTGGGAGTCAGCACCCCTTGCCAGCACCCCTTGCCAGGGTTGCTGGTGATGTATTTTAAGGGAGATTCAGGTTAATGTCAGCATTCCAAATATCACCCAAAATTAAATCAGAGTCCAAGGCAGAACTTTCCTCAAAGTTCCAATTTAATAAGAGAGACATGTTGGTACATCTGTGGAAACCCGAATCTGAAAGCTTCCAGGGTTTTCCACCAAGTTGAAAGCTCATGATCTTGCTCCCACACCCCCAAGTCCATCACATGGTCCAATCTTCTACTGCCACATTGGCATTTCCACCCATCTAGTTCCAGTCAGGTGCAGAGGTGCAGAGTCAAAGAATGACCTTGGGCTTCTAGAAAGGAATGTTTTATTTTGACAACAACACATTCTTCTCCTTACTATTCCCCCTAATTACCCCACTAATGAAACAGCGTAGTAAAATAAGAGAGAATGACACGCCATTAAAGATGACAGCAACGAAGAGCTAATGTGAGAGTTCAAGAACGTCCTTGGCACCAGTCTAGGCAAGTATGTGGGGACCCCAATTTCATTTAATTTGGTCCCCAACATTGCCCCCATTAGATTAAAGCCACAGAGGGTCCCTTTCATCCACCATCCAAAAATTGACCTTGAATTGGACAAACTAATTGGCCAGGGGATTCTGGAGCCGGTTGATCACGCACCCCAGGAGACCCCTATAGCGACCCTGATGGGGTCACAAGCCTGATGGGTCTGTCCACATCTGCATGGACTATAAATGCACCATAAATAAGGCCCTACAACAGAGCGCTTATCCAGTGTCCGTTGTCTAACTTTTATTTTACTCCCTTAGCCCGGGAAAAGTATTTGCTAAATTAGATATGGTGCAGGCATACCAGCAATTGCCTGTAGATGGCACCGCAGCG